CGAGTCGTCAGGATGCCCCCTACCCCTCTGAGAAGTTCTGAAACGCTTAACTGAGACACCCTGTATATACAAATGAACATGAAAAACATGAATAAAATAAAAACTAAATGGTAGAGAAACAAGAAAGGTCAAAGCAAATAGTCGTTATCAAGACACATCTATTGCTATAAATGCGATATTTCTGAATAAATAATAATTATCCTTTATATGTGTCGATATCGCAAAAAACCTTATGTAGTAAAAAATCATGAAATAAAAGAAAAATGTAAAAAGAAATCAAACTTACCGGCGTGAATTAAAACGCGGTTTAGGTTTAAAAGTACAATAATAAAACAGTTAGCAAAAATCGCGAAGATGTAAAATATTGGAAGTTGTGCTTATAGCTTGAATCGAAAAAAATAAAAAAATATATTTGATCGAATATATATATATATATAAGTTAAGGAATTATCTTCAGATAATAAAATTTTAGATAGTGGGCAAAAATCTCTTTATCAGTTTAAGTAAGTTCCAAAGATGTAGGAAAATAACGTTAAAAATATAATTAACTCCAAGAGACTCCATTGACTAAAAGTATTCAAAATCGCTTTGTCTTTCGTTACAAATTTATTGCCGGTTGCTCACACCTCTGAAAACTTTAAATTTTATTAATAAGTTTGAGAAATTAGGTGATCTAAATACTATATTAAATTATAAATAATCTTGCAAGTATTTCTTTAGAAGTATTTAAAAAAAATTTCAAAAACTGAAAGTATCCTTTCATATTGTAGGGTAGTGTATATACTGTGTAAACATATGTATATTTTATGTAGTATACACAAACTATGTAATACATTTTTAACTCAAAAAAAGTTTATTTCCTGCCATTATTTTATGCACTATTTTTTTCCTTTCAGGAATTGGGATCACTAAGAGAAGAGCTGTTATATTCAGGAAAAGAAGATGCTTTTTTAGAAGATATAAAAATGAAAACTGACAAGGAATCAGATTTTTTTATAAAGGCTTTAGTTCTGAATGAGAAGTATGCATTAATTAATACAATCTATGCTCTTAAGTGCAACCCTTTCCTCATAACGACCGCTACTTGAAGTCCTATTTGTTGTACCATAAATGTAATGTTATTTTAACGCCCTTTGGAATGTCCGAATTTTACTTCAATATAATGACCAAAATTTGTTTCATTTTTATTTTTAATTCCCAGAAAATCACTCCAAAAATCAAGTATTAGACATTTTTGTGCCTTAAGAAATACATTTTTTTGGTAACAACAAGCTAATCAATAACAAGTATTCCCAGATAACTATTCAAACGTCTATTTCTTTTATTGTTACCGATCAATAATCATGATACATCTTGAACTCTCGATGAAAGAAGACATTCATAGACAGGACCATCTATTCTCAATCCAGGAGGTTCTGGCCGTAATCTATGGTTAAATGAATTGTGAAAGGGATTACTTACCATTATTGGGAATTTGAAGTGCATATTGCATCGTCATTTATAAATCAGAGTTATGTGTATAAATCATCACCTTTCAAAATTTCTTTTCAAAGGGTTCAATATATTCATCAATCATATTTTTTATGTTTGAAAATTGTGTTCACTCTTTGTGTGAACACATTGTTCATTTGTCTGTTCAGAGTTAAAATTTACATTCTCTTGAATGCTAGGTTTCCTTGACATTTTTTCCCCCTCCTTTTATAACCGTCGTAGTTTTTTGGGTTACCACAAATAATGTTCAACTCCTCAGCCTTGTAATTTTGAACCCAATTCGGAAGATAAGAGAACTCCTGGATCAAGTATTGGGAGAAATTTTGCCTTCCTAGAGGACTTTTTGTTGGAACTAAACCGCATTTGCACTGAGAGCGGAAATTAAAAATTTTAAGAAAGGTGGATAGAAGAATAGCATCAAAATCGCTAAATGCGCTGTGAGACATTTTGTCTCTTGGTTCGTTTTTAAAGAACTCCTCAATAAGGATGACCAAGGATTATTTCAGTTATAGCTTATTTATTTCATTATTCTGGATTAATATAATTATTTACAAAATTATACATGAGCTGTAGAGTATAATGTTTCGGAGCGCTATTGCTCCCTTTTTCGTTCCCACTTTTTCTATCATAGTTCAACTAAAACTCAACTCTTCTGCGTTCAAAACTAATCTCATCTAAACATATTCTTTCTCATGAGAAAAAGTTCTTCGCTCCACCCCCAATGTAGGGGGACGACACTTCCCGTGTCCCTTGCCCTCTGACCCTCAGGTCAGGGGTCAATCAAATGCGTGGGAGAGGAATCAGGATCCTGACATGCGCTTTGTTTATAATGATTTAAAATCGTTATGTAATTCTAAATGTATTTTAAGCAAAGTGGAAATATTAATGAACGTGTGTTCGCATTCTTAGATGAAATTTCTCATTTTTAATAAAATTAACGAAGGAAACCTTTAGTAAATTTTGTGTCCTTTTCTGCCAGGAGCATTTAATGCCAGGTTTTCACTAATCTAGCGTTCACATACGATTTAAAAGGTGTAATTTAAATCTAAACACTTAACCACTTGCCCCCAACTCTCGGGCTTCCACACCATGCGAAAAATTTCACTTCCGAAAACACCAATTCTGATACACTTAGTATCGCCTATTGGAAATCCAAGATGAGTTGGGCAGAGTTTGTTGTTTCATACGCTGATACTCATTAACAGAAACGAAGATTATTGAATNAAATCCAAGATGAGTTGGGCAGAGTTTGTTGTTTCATACGCTGATACTCATTAACAGAAACGAAGATTAGCAGTTAAAATATAAAAGTATGTTTGTAGTTGTGTAATAAGTAATTAAATTTCTATGTGTAGAGTGGTTTTATCATGATTAATTTCTATTCGCTTCTGTTCCGTTAAGCCTATATCGAATTCTTCTTAATATTCTCTCTGTGCTACGCGTACACCTTTACATTTACAAAATAATTTTTCTGAAGAAATGATGTATAGATGCATCCTAATTTGAAGATTTTTAATTTATATTGCATTGTAAAAATAAATTTACAATTTGTTCACAAAATAATTTCGGCTACTTTACACTAAGTACTGTAAAAGAACTGTTTTTTGTAGTGAAACTCTAGATTCAAGAATTATGTACCGCCCAGTGGGGAATATAAGTCAAAAAAAATTTTTTTTTGGGGGGGAAGGGCCCAATATTTAATTTTATTTTTCGTTTTTTTTTTTTTTTTTTTTTAAGTGAACCATCATTCAGTACTTAAATATAGCTTTAACGGGGTTTTAAACTAAGTGTTGGAACTAAACAATCTCGTTATAATTTTTTTATGCTTTCAGTTTATCTTATAAACTATGGGTAAACAAAATTGAACGTAACAATTTATTTTATTTGGATTGACGACTGTACATACATATTTATATATAAGAAATTTTTTATTTTTAAGTAAAATTTACAAAACATAGCTCAGATTTCTTGGTACACTTGCAAACTTATCAAGAACTTCTTCATCGCTTATTTAACGTCTCTGTGGATGGAAAGCAATGGAAGTCCATTAAGTCTATTTTCCGAAGTGGTGTTTCTTAAGTAAGACTTCAGTCTTCTTAAACTTGAGAAGCTTCTTTCCACAGTCGCAACAGAAACAGGCAGAACTGCTAGTAATTTTAAAAGAATATAAATGTTAGGGAAGAAATTCTTGTCACATTTTTCTAAACTAATTGCTGTTTTGGGAAGATCTTCAGATTTATCCCGACTCCACTTTTCCTACCATAACATAAATTCACTTTTCACGATCTCTTTATGTGATAAATCTTCGTAGAATATACAAAATTCTGGAAGTATGTGTTGTAAGGATGCAACCGTTTCCCTTAGAGATTGAAATCGTTCCTTCAGGGAATTGCAAAAATCATCAAGGTAAGGTACATAAACAATTCGTCGATAGTACTCTTCCTTTGTGCTGTAAGGGACGTTGTTGCGGGCTGTTTGAAGACGACAAATTCTTGGAATCTCTTCTTTAATGTCGAGTTTTTCAGCGAATTTCTTTACTTCAGCATACAGGGTTTTAAAGCTGTCTTCAGCATTTGATCTTTGCTTTGATAGCAGATCTAAGACGCTTGTAACATTTTCCATGGCTTGAGAAAGATCTATGCTTTCTTTTTTTTTTTTTTTTTTNTTTTTGAAGCGTCTCGGATAAGTTATGTGTAGTTGACAGCATGCGGCTCAAAAGAAAAAGATTGACAAGAAATTGAAATTGACTGATAGAACTACCTAGAGCATGTGCCTTAAGTGCTGAGTCACTTGATTCTTCTTCTATTTTCAAAAGAGAGAGAAAGATTGGTTCTAAAATATCTTTAAACAAAAACTCAGAGTCGTGCCTATCCACCCATCGGGCTGTGCTCTGTCCATCCTAGGATTTTCCAACCTGAAGGTGGGGTAGAGGGTCATAACAATAGATATGATCCATCAATGTGTCAAAGGGGAAAATGTATTGTTATGAATAGATCTTTGAAGTGGGGACTCTTGAATTATAACAAATGTCCATCGCCAAGCATTTGGCGAATGAAACATCTCTTTAGCAACCCCTAAAGATTATACCACCACGTGTTGTCAATATAGTATTTTTAGCAATCAAGATGGAAATATTTTTTCAAAATTTGGAGAAAAAAAATCCTGAAACATGAAAAGTACCTCGATTATTTTCATGGGGAATTGAAGAACAAGACAGCTTGGTCTTGTATCAGAAAAGAAGTGTAGAGCATAAAACAGCAATTTTTTGTTAATTACTTGATGGTTCATTACACTATGACTTCGTTTAACAAGTCCTATACATCTATCTGAATCATTTTAGTTTTGTTTCTTCCTAAAAATCGATTAAAAAAAAAAGATTTTGTTTTTAAAATTCTCGTTACTCTTTTCAGCACATTTTGTTTAGATTTAATTTTATTTGTTAAAAATTTATAAATATAACTTTCTATCATATAACTGTTAAAATTACTAAATGTTTAAATTTGTTGTTAAAATGTTTAAATTTGTTGTTAAAATGTTTAAATTTGTTGTTAAAATGTTTAAATTTGTTGTTAAAATGTTTAAATTTGTTGTTAAATGTGAAATTGAACCGTTTATATTTTAAAACGTTTCGATACAAATATTAACTTTTAACAGCATCAAATCATTGTTTTATTAAAATGTTTCAGTTTTTGTACCTTTTGACATGAAATCAAGTGTTAGTACTCGCGTCCAAAATGAAAATTTCGAGAAAAAGAAAAGAATGGATATAATTTTAAATTAAATAAAAATAAAATTTATAGCTTTCAGAGGTTTTAGAAACCTATAATAAGTAATGAAAAATTACAAGTTTTTTAACACCCTATGCCAGATGCCAGAAAATCAAGCAATAAGCTTGGAACTTGTACCAATTACTTAAGTTGTTGTTTTAGTAACTGCATAACATTTCGTAAACCTAGCGTAAATATTACTCGAGATATGATGGTTTTTTTATTAAAAAAAAGCTAATTATTTGTTTTATGGTTTTTTGTTATAACTTTAAAAATATTCAATGGAATTAAACAAACTTTTTGTTGCAATTTAAAATTAATTACAAATGTATTGATTTAAAGATTAAAAAAACTTGCAAAAAACCGCGCAAGATATGAATATTTCAAGTAGTTCTTTTATGCTGCGCATGCGCTAAAAAGGAATTTTTAAAAAAACATGATCTGATTTTATAAATTCAAAAGGTTTCAAGCAGTTCAGGCCTCGTAGTCCATCAAAGAAAAAAAGATCACGTCATTTTTTTTTGAAACAGTCTACATACTATTTTTAAAATTAACTAAGATAAAACACAGTTAATAAGATTAATATTTTAAAAATATAAGTTCAATCTAATTTTTGGGAACAATAATTTACTAGACTTTTAATATTAGTTAATTTTTTAAACTACTCAATTTTATACAATATGACTTTGTTTAAATTTGACAGTAAAATATTGTGTTTTAAAAACATTATCAGCGTACAGAATTACATAGAAAAAAATATAAT